TTCGTTTGTTGTTCTGGTGATAATATACATGGTTTGTATTGATACCATTTCAGTTGCTGCTCTTTGAAATGTTGCTTGAGTAGTAATGTTGTAATAAAAAAAAAAAGTTTCAATACACTCTCGAGCCTGGTCAAAATAGTGACCTAAATAGAGACTAACTGCTTCATTAGACAAAACAAATATTTGTTATTCATTACTTCATCTGCAGTGACTTCAGGAAGATCAAACAACTGGTTTCGTCATCAAAGGTGGTTTGTAATTCAGGTGCAACAGTTTTCCAGCTAAAGAAACAACTAGCTACAAAATAAAAAGCTAAAATCTCTTCGACCCAAAATATGTTAAAAAATAATGACAAATAAAATGAACAAAATAAAAATTTTAAAATGTATGTGCCTTTGAGAGAGGGAAACAGTGGACATCTTCATCTCTGTAGATGTTATGGGTAATCTATCTCGACCGCCACATACAAAATAATCATTCCCCCTCCAAACCTTTATAAAAAAAAACAAGAGATGTCTTGACCTATTCAACATACCACAGATAATAGAATGGCATTTTACATCTTACATCTGTCTTTACACTAAGTGGTAGGATAAATTAATAGAGAGAGATAAAGGACTTTAGTGCCTAAAAGCCCATTTTATCATGGCCAGTGCCATTGAGGACTTTCACCATTGTGAAGTAGTCAACTGGGTGGGACTTCCTATGGGTTAAGGAAGGATCACATTATTCCATCCAGGTCACCAGGAGGGATCAGCCAATGAAGTATACTCATGAGCAAACATTCCATAACTGCAGGTGGCAGTAAATTGCCTACCTTGGCTTTAAACCTGTTTAAACCTGTTCATACACACTTCAGCTAGCAGTATGCACCCTTTCAGTGTGTTTGCCAACTCGTAGTAGAAGAAGAAAATGTACTACTTCAAAATGGAGATAGCCTCAATGGGCTGCCCATGCCCTCACAGACGCCATAATGGGACAGATACAATGATGCGATGTCTATCTAAGTCTATGGATTAACCCAGTTAAGGCCCAATATGAAGTCTGTCTCGTCTCATATTCAGTCACACACAACCTTGCGGGAAAGAAAGTGTGTGTGAGTGGATCACAGTATACAATACTTCCATATACAGTAGTAAGTGGACCATGCAAATTACATGAGAAATTTAAATAATCCTCAAGTTCTCTTCCAGGGACATTCTGTCTGTTGGGTAGGATATACAGTGGAGACGTGAAACAGCACAGTATGTATCCACAGGATGAGGCTAGTGGAAGCTAACGACCACTTGCCTTCGACACACATCTCAAACATGTACAATGTCAGGCAACAACATTACATACAGTATAACAAATTGACAAATTACATTTTATAACCATGTACTGTATGCATAAAATCATTCAGAAACAGACGTTTCGGAATCCAAAACTTCCTTAGCTGTGATTTGAGCTGGAGGAGTTACTGTGAGGGAGAGCACACACTCACTGTTAAAAAACACAGGTAGGTGAACATGCATTCAGAGACGAGGAACAGTCAAACAGCAACAAAACAAAATAAGGAAGAGCTAGTAGATGATCCACAGGCACAGAACCCAAAAGGTGACAAACAGGTTAAGAAGTGTTACAGGCAATGTGGGTTAACTGAAATAAAAAGCGACATGGGCGAATGCCACCCCCCGGAGCCGAGTGGTAGGGTGGCGAGCCAAAGAGGAGACAGGGCATGCATGCATACTGCACACACTGCCCGAGAGAAGCCCCATCCTAAGCTGTGACATGGCGCTCAACGCAGCCAATGACCAGCGTCTGCCACCTGCGGTGGAGGGGTTTGAGGAGGGGGTGTGGCCAGAGAGAGGAGCAGACGGGATGCCAGTAACAACACATTATGGTATGGTAGGGAGAGAATGCAGGTGAGGTGAAGTAATGAAGTGAACCTGTCCCCTTTCCCACCCCTCTCGGTCCTGGAGCTCCTAGTCCTGTCCCCTCCCCAGTCATGTATGGAGGATGTACATGATACTGACAGACACCACAGAGGACAAACACTATAAATTAACCCTATTCATACACACATACAGTAAGATGACCAATCGGTCCATGTTTTAGTCCATTTGAAACCTGCAAAATATGGAGCTGCGGTCTGAGAGAGTGGAATGACTGCGTTGTTTCCATGGGAACTCCACGGCTCGCCAAGTGATGCTGAATCTGGACGGTTCCTTCAGTGATGATGGCTCTGAGTCAATGAGTGAGTGAGAGAGATACTGCAACTGTATCCACCTGATTGGTTTGGATGTGAGGGTGGACTGGAGGGACATGGTTTGGCTTCCTGTCCTGCCCTTCTGTCTGATGGTCTGGTCAGGTGAGATGGTATGGGTGGGGTGTGGTGGGGATGGGGGGGGGGCAGATTGTGTTGCTTCTTCCCCCTTCCATGGGGGGGGGAGCTGGTCCTGTCTCTGACCACACCTTGCCGTGCTTTAGGAAGGGGGTTGGGGAGGGGCGGCATGGGAGCGGGTTGGGATTTGAGGCGAGAGAGCTAACAGCCGCCATGGTAACGCCGCGTAGCGGAAGCTGAGTTAGTACATCGAGAAGCAAAGCTTTGCAGGGACAACGGAAGCAAAATTATAAATGTGTAATAGACTATTAAAAGATTTACGGGTGCAAAATTGGGTTGATTATTATTGTTGCTTCGGGTCAGAAACTGTTGCAAAAGGAGAGAACTCTACGTATGTATCGGGTTGGAAATTGAGATACATCATAATCGGTCTCCTGTTTTTGTCTCGGTCATGTCTCTCTCTCTTTCTGACTCTATGACAATAAAAGGAACGTGAATGTGGTCGCTCTGTCTCCGAGGCTGCTTGCCCTGCCATTTCTGAGCCAGCCTCTCACACTTTTAGGAATCTGCAATTTGAAAGAAAAAAAAACAAACAAACAAAAAATGAAAAAAGAACACGTTAGAGAGATATCTCAGGGAAAGAAAATGTAGTTCACATACTAAATGGGGTGGAAGAAGTCAACTATTCTTTGCAATTGCCTTTGAAAGGAAATCATATTGTTCTCTGGCGTTAATATCAGTTTCTGTACCTTAAAAGTCATATATTTTGTATTTAATACTGTTTCTAAATGACAGTCTGGTGTGTGAATCTATCATTTCCAAAAACGAAAAGAGACACTTAAGCTTGTAACAATGTCAAACATGTTATGTAATATGCAGACATTTTCATACATTTACATTTTAGTCATTTAGCAGACACTCATATCCAGAGCGACTTACAGTTAGTGAGTGCATACATTTTCATACTGGCCCCCCGTGGGAAACGAACCCACAACCCTGGCGTTGCAAGCGCCATGCTCTACCAACTGAGCTACAGGGGACTACCAACATAACATGCCTCACATTTCATTTGGACCGCCGTTTAGCAGGGGGATGAAATGGTTGTGTTAATAGCACTGACAGAAACAGGATTACTTTCACCGCTATAGAAGAAAGGGTTGGTAGAGCCTATGTTTGCACAATTCAGTCATCTTCTAAAGAGAAATGCCTGGATATTTGAGATATTTCTACACCATACTGTAGCACAGACCATGCTTCTCATCTGCACAGGTGCTAATCAAAACCCATGCACGAGCTGGCAACCAAGCACCAACGTTACAATCAGCCCCACAACAGTCCGTTCTCACAACGTTCTCACCGAGAATGAGGGAGAAAATAATGGTACAGCTCATTCTCAATCCTGAATTCCTCTACAAACCGTTCTGGAAAATAGAGGCCCAGAAAAAGAAATAGCACCTTTTAGTCTGTGACATTGGTGCATCTTGACTGTAGAGGAGTGGGTAGATAATCCAGGGTAGAGGAGTTGTTATTCAAAACAATGTATTTGTCATTGAGTGAGCGCTAAGCCTACTGAGCTACAGAATGCAGGCCTATGTACGGGGGAGAAGCTTTGTGATTCATTACATGAATTTGTCACAGTACAAAAAAATATGATTGCATATGTTTTTTACAGCAGAATCAAATAATAATTTGCATATTTCTACATTGTACAATCTAGCATGCTTTAATACTGGGGACAGCAAGCAATTGTTTTTTCAACACACACTTTAAAAACGATCCTGTGATTTAACCAAAATTATATTATATATACTTATATTATTTAGTTCTCTCCTAATATCACCTCGATACTGGCCTCTGTGGGAATATGATTCAGTGGTTATGACCATCAACTTATGTAGTCAAACATACACACACAAACTTACATTTAGCCTTTTTGTTTTCATCCTGACCACAACTCTAGTGTGTATATGACAAAATATACCTTTGTCAGGGGAGAAGAAAAAAAAGGCAGCAGATTTTTTTTTATGGGGAAATATGACTCCATGCATTTCAAGAACAAAAAGACCACAGCACTCATTGAAATCATCATTACAACTGGCCTGATTCCCATTTAGTTGACTGGAAGTAACGACAGACAGTTCTCCTGGCTGGCCACTAGGTGGCACTAAAGCAAACAAGAGGAAACGAGGAGAGAATTCTCTCAGAACCAGTGGGAAAAAAACGCTCCGGTTTCCCCTTGGTTTCCCCTTGGTACAGATCTAGGATCAGCTTCCCCTCACCCAATCATAACCTTAACCATTAGTGTGGGAAATGTAAAACCGACCCAGGATCAGTGTCTAGGGAAAACTTCGCCCTACACCGAAAACAACCAATACCTCCTTTTAAAACTATCCGTTCTCCCAAATAAATTGAGATACCCATCACATACAACACCACCTCAGTGCATGTGGCCGGTTTCAGCTACATGGTTACCATGACAGAGGCAGATGGAGACTTCTGATTGGTCCATCTTTCAGAGTGGAAGAGAGTGGGAGGAGTGTACTCGGGTCTGACCAACCAGTAACCACCTATCACCCCAACACACTCACCCCCCCCACCCCCACCCCAGAGCCCCTCCGAAAAAAATGCCCTCGGACCCAAAAGAAAACTCCTTCAGTTAAATGTATGTCATAGCACCTTTGGCATTTGGTTCCAAAAAGACCTCGACATAGGACGTGGGCACGTAGCCTTCCTCCTCTTCGTTCCTGCGGACGCGCGTCCAGCCGTCACCTTTATCCTCCTCTATCACATACAACAGCTCTCCCTCCGTCACTGATATAGTCCCCTCATTATGACCTGGTGGAGGGGAGGGGGGGGGGGGGGTTGAACAAGAAAGAGAAGGAGAGAAAGAGAGGAAAGGAAAGGAGAAGGAGGAAAGGAGATGGAAAAAGAAAGAAAGAAAGAAAGTGAGAAGGAGAGGGGGGGGGAGAGAGAAAAGGAAGAGAGGGAGAAGTGTCAAAACAAGGTGGAAGAGTGTTATTGTTGCATATCTCTCAAATAGTCAAATAGATGTTCCAGCCCACATTACCCGTGTTGTTGTCTCTGATTGGTGTATTACCTGTTAAAGGTGTATTACCTTCAAATTGGTAGATTGCTTTACAGGTGCCGATGGTGGGCAGTGTCTCCTCATCCCCATCGTCAAACTCATCATCAAACTCTGGAGTGTTGGCTATGGCCACCTTGACCTGAGTCTCTGAACTCTGCTCCTCTGTGTAACTGCCATCCGGGCTGCTCAAGGACCAACACACACACACAGTAACTATAGCAACCTCACAACACAACATTTACTGTAACAAACTACAAAGCTGTGTTGAGTAATGGAGTGTGTGTGTGTGTGTGTTTACTGTACCTCTCTCTGTCCTGTGCACAGTTGTTGCCGACCGTGGTGCTGTTGCTGTTCTGTGTCTCGTACAGACCACTCTGTCTCCTGGGAGGATCACTCTTCGATGGTAACCTCCCCTCCACCTCAGCTAGCCATCCCTGGTACACACGCACATGTTAGGGTTGTGAGATGAGATCTGCTAGTGTAGTGCAGTCCAGAGTCAGATATACAGTGAGGGAAAAAGTATTTGATCCCCTGCTGATTTTGTACGTTTGCCCACTGACAAAGACATGAGCAGTCTATCATTTTAATGGTAGGTTTATTTGAACAGTGAGAGACAAAAATCCAGAAAAACGCATGTCAACAATGTTATAAATTGATTTGCATTTTAATGAGGGAAATAAGTATTTGACCCCTCTGCAAAACATGACTTGGTACTTGGTGGCAAAACCCTTGTTGGCAATCACAGAGGTCAAACGTTTTTTGTAGTTGGCCACCAGGTTTGCACACATCTCAGGAGGGATTTTGTCCCACTCCTCTTTGCAGATCTTCTCCAAGTCATTAAGGTTTTGAGGCTGACGTTTGGCAACTCGAACCTTCAGCTCCCTCCACAGATTTTCTATGGAATTAAGGTCTGGAGACTGGCTAGGCCACTCCAGGACCTTAATGTGCTTCTTCTTGAGCCACTCCTTTGTTGCCTTGGCCGTGTGTTTTGGGTCATTGTCATGCTGGAATACCCATCCACGACCCATTTTCAATGCCCTGGCTGAGGGAAGGAGGTTCTCACCCAAGATTTGACGGTACATGGCCCCGTCCATCGTCCCTTTGATGCGGTGAAGTTGTCCTGTCCCCTTAGCAGAAAAACACCCCCAAAGTATAATGTTTCCACCTCCATGTTTGACGGTGGGGATGGTGTTCTTGGGGTCATAGGCAGCATTCCTCCTCCTCCAAACACTGTGAGTTGAGTTGACACTTTCACCCAGTTCTCCTCTGAATCATTCAGATGTTCATTGGCAAACTTCAGACGGGCCTGTATACGTGCTTTCTTGAGCAGGGGAACCTTGCGGGCACTGCAGCATTTCAGTCCTTCACGGCGTAGTGTGTTATCAATTGTTTTCTTGGTGACTATGGTCCCAGCTGCCTTGAGATCATTGACAAGATCCTCCCGTGTAGTTCTGGGCTGATTCCTCACCGTTCTCATGATCATTGCAACTCCACGAGTTGAGATCTTGCATGGAGCCCCAGGCCAAGGGAGATTGACAGTTATTTTGTGTTTCTTCCATTTGCGAATAATCGCACCAACTGTTGTCACCTTCTCACCAAGCTGCTTGGCGATGGTCTTGTAGCCCATTCCAGCCTTGTGTAGGTCTACAATCTTGTCCCTGACATCCTTGGAGAGCTCTTTGGTCTTGGCCATGGTGGAGAGTTTGGAATCTGATTGATTGATTGCTTCTGTGGACAGGTGTCTTTTATACAGGTAACAAACTGAGATTAGGAGCACTCCCTTTAAGAGTGTGCTCCTAATCTCAGCTCGTTACCTGTATAAAAGACACCTGGGAGCCAGAAATCTTTCTGATTGAGAGGGGGTCAAACACTTATTTCCCTCATTAAAATGCAAATCAATTTATAACATTTTTGACATGCGTTTTTCTGGATTTTGTTGTTGTTATTCTGTCTCTCACTGTTCAAATAAACCTACCATTAAAATTATAGACTGATAATTTCTTTGTCAGTGGGCAAACGTACAAAATCAGCAGGGGATCAAATACTTTTTTCCCTCACTGTAGGCTTGTTACTAAGGCTCTTTTCTCTTACACAAAGCCAGAACACATATCGGCCGCCAAGGCAGTGCATCATTTCCAAATAAGGAAGAGGAGAAGTCAGGACTCAGGAGCACTCTACTGTTTGATCTAATAATGAGGTACTGTTTTAGCAAAGCCAAACAAGATTACTATGCTACTAACAACACTGAGTCCGTCCAGCATCTAGAAATACAGTACATTCCTGTCTGGGATAGGTCAAGAGGGTTGATCATGACTCACCTCGAATTTCTGCACCTCAGACTGTATTTTCTCGATGTTCATTGCTATCTCTACTAGGCGGGGGTCCACACTGGCAGGGTCACCCATCTGGGGGTTCTTCTCATACACACCCTTCATCTTAGTTAGGGCATCTCTGACGGCCACAGAGGGAGAGAGAGTGACACATTAACACTCAGACATACTCCGACAAATAGATGGCCCAGTCTAAAGCTGATCAAGCCAACCACATTTACCCTAAATCTACCTCTGAGTATCTATATCTATCCCTAAATTTTACTGGGAAAATTTTGGTCCATAAAAAAGCTGACACTAAGGACTTGGGGGAGCTTTTAGGGAGGAGTTAGGACATCATTTCCATGCAAATATGGCTGAGGCTTATGTTGCAGATACAGACACACACACACACTTACTTCTGGTCCATCTCTTTCTGGATGTCTTTGTTGAAGTCGTCTATCTTGGCCTGAAGCTTCTTTCTCCTCTGCTCTGGGGGCAGGTGGCTGAAGTCCTCTGGTCCAGAGCCCTGATGGAGAGAGATAAAAAGAGAAAGAGAGTGGGAAAGAGGAAGACAAGTTGGAGACAAAGTGAGTTTCAGGAGCATTCTACATCGTGTCCCTAAATGGCTGCCTCTCTAGCCTCTACCACAGACCCACTGATTGAGCTTTAGGGGGTTTCTCTGTGTACTGGTGAGCCATTCAACCACCTTTCACCTATTCAGTCCCAAGCCTGAAAAGATATTAGGATGTATCACATTACTTCATATCCAGTCAAATCACATTTCAGTGTTCATATTTCAGTATCATCATAACTGTCAAGAGAGAAGCTGAAAAGGAGGTAGTGTTTCTGAAATGGAAACTGTCGGGCCATTTTGAGGGCAGACAGGATTGTATTTCCTAATGAAGGAGTTTCCTGGATAGGATACATATCGATAATCTCTGACGATGGTGAGTCATTCTCTCTGTGTTCTGTGTTAGACTGGGCCTGCTCCACTTTCCAAAGTAAGCTGCCGTTTGTGTCCTGTATGTACTGCAGTTCAGCGATACACCACTTGGTGGTGCTATTTGGTCAGATTTCTTACATACACTTAGGTAATTATTGTGTTACAAATATAATAAGTCATTTAGCAGACACTTTTATCCAAAGCGACTTACAGTCATGCGTGCATACATTTTTTGTGTATGGGTGGTCCCGGGGATCGAACCCACTACCTTGGCGTTACAAGCGCCGTGCTCTACCAGCTGAGCTACAGAGGACCACACAAATCACTGTACAACAATACAAAACAATGGATAATTATACATAAATTAACTGTCAATGTATTGTTAGCAATTAAAATGGGATTCACTGTTGCTTTCCTCACATTTGCATATATTGCTTTCAGATTGGCTTCTTTGACTGGCCATAGTATTCATGGTATTTATCTGATCATGTGCTTGGACTGGATATGTTAAGACTCAGACAAAAATACTCGTAACATAGCAGGCTCAAAGGTTAGCGTCCTACTTCACCAGGGTTCAAGGGTCAGAGGTCACTGGGGTTTACTGCTGAGAAAACCAATAGAAACGCAGCAGCAGGCTAGGCTCCCGTGGCGATTACCTTCCTTACACCATTTCTCTGCACCACCGTGCAACACTTACCAACCAGATGAAAGGCAACACAACAAATAGGTTTCATTCAACATGGTCTGGTTCATGCTCAAATTCAAACTTATATGACTTATACAAACGGTTGATTACTAGAATTAAGAACAACCTGCTTGCTGTTGATTGATGTAGACACAAAATACTCCACACCAGTCATCATTCTTTCATAAGACAAGGTGCTATACAGGTGTTACACTATATATACAAAAGTATGTGGACACCCCTACAAATTAGTGGATTTGGCTATTTCAGCCACACCCGTTGCTGACAGGTGTATAAAATTGAGCACACAGTCATGCAATCTCCATAGACAAACATTAGCAGTAGAATGGCCTTACTGAAGAGCTCAGTGACTGTCAACGTCATAGGATGCCACCTTTCAGTTCGTCAAATGTCTGCCCTGCTAGAGCTGCCCCGTCAACTGTAAGTACTGTTATTGTGAATTGGAAACGTCTAGGAGCAACAACGGCTCAGCCGCGAAGTGGTAGGCCACACAAGCTCACAGACCGGGACTGCCGAATGCTGAAGCGCGTAAAAATCATCTGTCCTTGGTTGCAACACTCATTCCTGAGTTCCAAACTGCCTCTGGAGGCAACGTCAGTACAATAACTGTTCGTCGGGAGCTTCATGAAATGGGTTTCCATAGGCCGAGCAGCCGCACACAAACCTAATGCCAAGTGTCGGCTGGAGTGGTAAAGCTCACCGCCATTGGACTCTGGAGTAGTGGAAACGCGTTCTCTGGAGTGATGAATCACGCTTCACCATCTGGCAGACTAATCTGGGTTTGGCGGATGCCAGGAGAACGGTACCTGCCCCAATGCATAGTGCCAACTGTAAAGTTTGGTGGATGAGAAATAATGGTCTGGGGCTGTTTTTCATGTTTCGGGCTAGGCCCCTTGGTTCCAGTGAAGGGAAATCTTAACGCTACAGCATACAATTACATTCTACACAATTCTGTGCTTCCAACTTTGTGGCAACAGTTTGGGGAAGGACCTTCCCTGTTTCAGCATGACAATGCCCCTATGCACAAGTGAGGTCCATTCAGAAATGGTTTGTTGAGATCGGTGTGGAAGAACTTGACTGGCCTGCACAGAGCCCTGAGCTCAACCCCATCGAACACCTTTGGGATGAATTCGATTGCCGACTGCGAGCCAGGCCTAATCGCCCAACATCAGTGCCCGACCTCACTAATGCTCTTGTGGCTGAATGGAAGCAAGTCCCCACAGCAATGTTCCAATATCTAGTGGAAAGCCTTCCCAGAAGAGTGTAGGCTGTTATAGCAGCAAAGGGGGGACCAACTCTATATTAATGCCCATGATTTTGGAATGAGATGTTCGACGAGTAGGTGTCCACATACCTTTGGTCATGTAGTGTATCTTTACCCAGTAACTTACCTATTCAATATACATTTCACACTCAGATATACATTTGTATATCTACTTGATTACATTTAATCACTGGTAACTGATCTTGATCATTTCTAATCTCTTGCCAAATGATTTGACATGCATTTGTCAATGTTGACCACTCAATAATTATTACTACACACAAAGTTATGAACTAATGATTATCATGGCTTATGTTATTGTGATTGACAATCATTTCAAGGCAGTTGATGCTGTAGTTTATGATTTATCAATCACAATTCCCACAGGGCTCAATGTAGAAGTCTGATGAATTCATCAAAACATTGCAGAGGACTTGAGTACTGTCATAGATGGAATTTGAAATAAGTTTCTACCTAATCTCGTCCACCACCAACTCTCTCTCTCTGTAGGAATTGAGCCTGGGGAAGAGGTTAGTTTCTACATAGAATTAGGAATTAGAATATTAGAATGGACATGAACCTTCTTATGATGGGATAAAAGTCAGCCATTTTGGTCAGGGAGTTGGTCAACCATGGTTTGCCAGTGCTGTGATAAGATATTGTGTAAAATTATGAATTTGAAGAATTGATCTGCACTGTATGTTTGTTAGCTAGCTAGCCAGCCAGTTTTAGAGGAATGATTCCATAAATTTTTCAAAATTAACTGCCAATATGCCAACATTCCATCAAACAATGCAGTCAGCCCACAGCCATACACTGGCTGAAATCAGTTGATGATAGGACTTAGACAAGTTGTAAATGCAACAAGTACTGATATTGTATCATATAACAGCACTCACAGCTTTCCAAGAAAACCTAAATTTATACATTTATGGTCCGTTTACATATATTTTTAGAGGCTATTTATACATACAATTGGTATAAATCCTGTATAAACTGTATTTATAATTATATGACAATATATTAGGTTGACAATAATTCTAGTACACAATTTCTGATATATGTCTTACTTTTATTTTCCAGGATTATGCCTCTACTGACATTAATTAAGACTGGTTTTTATTTCTCCCTGACCAATATGGATACCATTTTCACCCCATTCTGGAACTTTGAGGGTTTATGACATAGCCCCTCTAGTAATGTAATAGGATCTCTGAGTTTCTACCTGACTGAGACAAAAAGCTCAATTTCCTTTGTTCCCATCTGTTCTGCATTTCAGTGGAAAATAGTTGGTATTCCTGGAAGGCTCGGCATCGTCTGGATGTTTTAGTTTAGCTCTTTTTGGGCCATTAATTTCTACATCAGAACCACTCTGAGCTTGGCAGCTATTGCTGAAAAACATCATCTTTAGAGCCTTGCATAGTGCATACTAAGTACACTGTTAAATTACTATTTATCAAAATCAGCATGTATCACATCTTTGATTATACAGTATCTACCCTCTTTCTTTGATATCAGCTATGATTATGATGTATCTATTGGAATCATCCATCTTCGCTTCTAATGAGTATGGGGACAAATCAAAGGAGATGGAACTAGCAGACAGACCTAAGTTCAAATAGTATTTGAAATCATTTCAAATACTTGATTGAGCTTGTCTGTTGCAATGAAATGAAAAGAAAATGATTTCAAAGATTTCAAATAGTATTTGAAACCCAGGTCTGACGGACAGACAAAACATACACAGTAATTCTGATCACCTCAATAAGATTCCGGACGTGGGAATTGAGTGTGATCTGCACAGAGCACACAGGCACAGTGGGGAGAGACACAACAAACAAAAATAATACACACACAACAAAAAACCAAAATTATGAGACAACAACAACAAGGGTCTGCATCTGCAAAATCCATCCTCATGTCACAAGAAAATGACAACGGACGAAAGGAACCAAATGCTAACAAACGGTCACACAGAATTCTCAACCAAGGTGGACGTGCACACGACGCTCAGATTACAGTTCATGCCACTATGGTCATGCAGTGTTACGGTCATGCTTACCAGCTTGAGAGAAAGCTTCATGGGTAGAAGAGAGGAGAGAGAAACAGCAGAGGAGCAAGGGAGAAAGAGAACAGATAAAAGTCAGACAACAGCAGAATAACACATTGGTCATTGTGGTTCCTCCTGGCACTGCATGCACATGTATGTTGACAGTTGTTGACATGGATATTGATAAGAAGAGCAGTTCCTTAGCCAAACTTCGCCATATGAGGAAAATAGTTGGGTTTTCCAAAACCTGGAAAGGGGAATGTAGAAGTCTTGGAGGCATTGTATATGATATATTGCTGCGGTCATTGGATACGAAGATGATCATCAAACCCACACCAAATCTGTCCCTGTGTTCATGACCAAGGTGATAACCAGAGCTTTCACAACTGAACAGCAAATGCATAGACCCATCAGGTATGAGAGCATTTGTGAAAATGACAGATCAGATATGAGAGGTGAAACTGGTCTGAGGCTCTTTGCAGATGCTGGTTAGTTCGGATGCCCATGCACATCCATGTAGATCGGATGCCCCATATCCCACACTTTGTTCTGATTACAATGGA